CAAAACCAAAATTGGCTTCCTTGCAAAAAATTTTCAGTTACTGATACAGCAACATGTTGTTTTAGAGTAATTTTATGAATATTGTTAAGTCATTAAAAATGCAGCAGTTAAGAGTTTTAAACTACAGCTGAATTCAAATAGTTACTAAAGTCCACAGAAAATTATTTGTCTAACTTGATTGGTATTACTATATTTTAAAAAGTTTGTCAGTGACAGGCAAATAAAGAACTAATATTGCCACTATTAATTCTTCAATTTATACAAGTGGAATAAAAAACAATGTTATAATTTTAAAATGACTATACACTTATTCAATATTTTGATAGTATATCTTTCTAATTTACTTTATAATATATTATGTCCAATTCTGAAACATTATTTTAATTTTTTCAGTGCTTTCATTAGACATCCATCTATCTATCCATCCATCCAGCCAGCCAGCCATTTATCCATTTACTGTTTCATTAAATGATGAGACTAAGATATGGCTTAGCTCTGCTACTAACCAGCTGTCAGCTTTGTGGTCTTATTCATTAATTTACTTGATTTGGTTTTTGCAAAATGTTCAAATACAAATACAACATTACCTCCTTAAGAAATTCATAGCTTTTTTGAGAAAACAGACAGTTAAGTCAGTCCACCAGTATAGCTTTTGGCGGCAGCGTTAACTTTTTCTGTGGGAATAAGGAACTGCCTCACAGAGATGGTGAGAGATAGACATAAAATTGGGTAAAGGTTGTTGTAGGGGTTTTCAATTTCATGATTTCTTCTGGACCTCCCAATAAGGTGATAAGAATCTAGAGTAAATCAGTTTTGATTCATATTTATTCCCTATCGTTTCTCCAGCTAGATACTATTACAATCTTCCATTGACCTCTAGCTCCCACTCTAATAAATAAGGACATCGGAGAAACCTGATGACAGTGGCTTCACTGGATTAATTTCTCTTTTCCTCCCATCACTGAAAGCTCTCATGAGATTGAGCAAAGCTCAGAGTTTTTCTGCTGTTCTGAATGTGTGGCTTGCATCTGAACCATGACTTCAGGAGCTTATTATCATTTAAGAATAGCTTCCCCATCTCCAGCCTCCTTGTCTTGTTCAAGGAATGAAAAAGGAGAAAGAAGTCAATGGACTGGTATCAGAAATACAACTTTTCTAAGACCATTAGGTGTCCACTTACGTTTAACTGGCAAAACCGTGACACATAGCCAAGTATATTTGAATAGGAGACTTGGTAACACAGGCTTCAAAAAAATTGACCACATTGTTGCACCAAACAAATATATGTATTTGTTTTGTAGGGAGGAAGGGGAGAAAGGATACTGGGTAGGTAAATATCAGAACCCACAGGGAGGAGGTACTATATAGAATGAAACTGAAATCCACTAAAAATAATAGCCTTCATTGATGTGTGCTGAGTACCTCAAGAGATTATGAACTTGCCAAGAAATTTAGGAAAAGTCAAGGCTGAATTTTCTCATCTATTTTTCATATGCCCCCAAGTGATTGTTATATGATATGGGGTGTTAGGATAATGGAGGTGTGTGTGCACAGGGGTATTATAACCATGGTGTCAGTGTACCCTTTGAAAGTAGGATGGAGACCCTAGATAACTTTGTTTCTGATTCTGAGAGGTCCCATGCTATCAATGAGCAAATAATTTGTGAGCCAAACTTGGCACTAAGGATGTAGTAGGACACCTTCTCCACTTTCTGACCCTCATGGATTTGGGCTGTGTGGGGGAAAAAAGAGCCTTCACCTGAGAAAGCTGCAAGTAAGACAATGCCCTCTATGTGTAGTCAGATTTTACTGGTTGGTAATTTGTAAACTTGCCAGCAAAAAAAAAAAAAAAAAAATGTTGTGGTAAGACAAAATAATCCAAAGATGTGGAAGGAGATAAAGTGGAGAGGTTTCAGGTATTAATCACAGATGGATTATTAAATCCGAATGGTGAAGATTAAGAATTTAGGAATTACAAATAGGTTTCTAGATTGAGAGACCGGATAGGTGGTAATGTATTTATTTAAGATTGAGATTACAGGATACAGTAGAGGCTTTGGAAGAAACATAAGAGCTTTGGTGATTGGAGATTTTTGAAAGATTTAAATAGCTCCTAGTGAATATTTCATTAGACTTTTGGAAATACAGATCTGAATCTTTAGAAACTACTAAGGAAAGGCCATCTATATTTCAGAATTATATGTCTATTAGTTTACTAGGGCTGCTGTAACAAATATCACAAACTTGTGGCTTAAAACAATTGATCTCAAAGTTCTGAAGTACAGAAGTCCAAAATCAAGCTGTCAGCAGGTAATAATCTTTCTGAAAACCCCAAGGGAGAATCCTTATTTGATTCTTCCTAATTCTGGTGCTTGTTAGCAATCCCTGGTTGGTAGACATATCACTCCAATCTTTGTCTCTTTCTCTCCCACAGCATTCTCCCACGTGTGTTTTGTCTAAATTTCCCTCTTCCTATAAGGATACCAGTCCTTGAATTATGCCCCCATCCCATCCAGGATGGCTTCAGTGTAATTTGATTACATCTTCAAAGGCCATATTTCCAAATAATCATCTTCATAGGTACAAGGAGTTAGGATTTCAACATGTCTTCTTAGAAGACACAGTTCAACTCACCAAATATGTGTGGCAAAAGCAGCCTCAAAAACAGATGTGCTCACCTAGACAGAAATGTGAAATAAGAATAGGACCAGTAATGGTCTCTTGAAGGTGTTTCATCATTGAAAGGAGAGGAAAGTAATAAGGGAGGAGACGAAAATATAATATGGTCAGAAAGATGAAAAATAATCCAGAAAAGTTGTGTTTTAGAAATCAAGAGCAGCAAATGTATTAAAAGGAGGGAGTTGACAAAAATATTAAAAAAACCTTCAGAGACTTCAATTCCATAAGTACCAGAAATAGGCTACTGTATCTTGTTAAGGATAGAGCAGAAGAAGGCTGGGAGCAGAGAGACAGTTTAAGAGGCTGAGAGACACTGCAGAGATCTAGAAAGATCATGACAGTTGCCTGAGCCAGAGCAGTGGCATTGGGAAAAGAAGACTGAGCAAATTATTGAAGTACAATCAAAAGAAACTAGTGCTGGATTTTACATAGAGTAGAAGAAGGAGTCAAAGGTGACTTCCAGGATTTTCCTTGGCAAACTGTAATACTGGGTTGACATTTATACAGAAAACACGGAAGGTCCGTGGAGAGATGATGATTTTAGTTTAGACAAGCTGATGCCATATCTGTGTCATTTTCTAGTTGAGGGGTATAGTGTGCTGATGAATATGAGTGTTGAAGATTCAGACAGTTATTGGGTCTAAAAGTAGATATGGGAGTCATCTAAAAAGAAAGATGGTAATTGAAAGTATGAGGATGGGTGATATTATCCAGAGGGAGAATATATAGATTTATATGTAGATTTATCTAAGACATACCTGACTCACACCAAAGGATGGATGGAGGATGAGACATCATCAAAGAGGGAGGGGAGAGGCAGCAAAAGAGGTCAAAAGGAAAACCAGGAGAGTGCTGTGCCAAGACAAGAGATGTCTTCGTATGGGCAGGGTTGTGAACATTATGAAAGGCTGCGTAGGTGTCAAATAGAAGAAGGATTGAGATGAGTTTGAAAAATTAAAAATAAATAGAACATTTATGGGCGTGTGTGTGTGTGTGTGTGTGTGTGTGTGTGTGTGTGTGTGTGTCACTTTGATGCATTAAAAGCAGGTGGATGCAAGACTCAATAAAATTCTTGGCTGGAGAACACTTTCAATCATTTGCCCATGATGGAAAGAATGGTACCTGAATGTGAAAATGACGGAATTGAAAGTTAATTAAAATACATGAAATTGACTAAAGAATATATGGTGTTTAACATCTCAGGAGGAAAATCTAGACAAGAGGGAAAATTCAAAGATAGAGGAGAGAGAATCATGATTAAGTTTAGCTTGAATGGGTTAGTTGGCTTGATACAGGAAGATGGCCACCTTTTCCATTGCACCAGGAAATAAGAGGGAGAAGAATGTTAAGTAGAGATAGATGATAACACCATAATAAGCCTCCAAATTAGAGAATGGTGAAATATAAAATAATTTGAAGTCATTTCTTGCCTAAATTTCAAATGTTGTTTTTGTGCTACTTATGAGGAGCAAGTTGATCCTGTTACCCTTTTGACTTTTGCTTTTTTATTTTGGACCTTTTGTGCTGCTAGTTTTGACCAGAGAAGCTCTCTTTTATGTGATCTGTCACCCCCGCCCCCCAACCTTCATCAAAACACTTCCTGACAGCTGAATCATGTCACTGGAAAGGTACTTCATTTTCTTTTTCCCCAGGGAATGGGGCCAGAGAGGTTTCACTGGGCACCCCAGAGACTACAGATCACAATTCCTGCCAGTGTGGCTGCAATCAAGGGTTTTAACATACAGTTCTTGCTTCATGATTTGTATATGCAAATCTTTTATTAAAGATGATTTCTTTTGCTTTTTTTGCAATCTAATGCAAATTAGATTGGACAAATATTTTCTATTGTTCCTATGATCTGCAATACAATTTCCCTTTACATATTTTGCAGATAGGTACTTTCTAGATATTTTTTTTTTTGCTTTCTTATTTTAGTTTTTTTCTATTATTATTATAAGTTATACTGTGATGAAGCCATGGGTGTCTTTTTCCTTTTCATCCACAGTACAGGTTTCAAATTCTTGTATGGAAAGCTTTGAATAACCATACTTAGAGAACATTAAAATGATTTTATTTTGGTTGGCTCAATTATGATCCGAAGAGGGAGTTGTGGTAGTGGTTTCGATAAAACTTCACAACCAATGGGAATCTTTTTTGAGTTTGTGTGGAGTGCCCTTAATGCTGGAAAAAATCCTGTTGGCTAGGACTCCAGAACTGTACAGATGAGAAAAGGATGCAGGAAATTCTGTTGTTTACACATGTGGCTGCAACTGAGACACTGGAGCAGCCCAGCAAGCCCAGAGGGTAAGAGTGTTTAATAACCTTGTGGTTTTCTATTTAACTTCTATATTTTCCTTCTGGGGCAGAGCATGTGTTGTTCTCAGAGCAAAGACAGTTGCTTACAAGATGCAGAGCAAAACTACTGTACAGCTGGGAAGCAGAAGGATTTTGGAGTTTCTTTTTAAAGTGATTTCTTCCTTTCCCCTTTAATTTTTCCACTGTGGTGTTATTATCCTGACAATTTGTCATACATTTCCTGTATTTAAAAAAATAACTGTATACTAAGCAAAACTCAGGTAAGAATTTCAACTCTACATTTAGACAGTAATAGAATATGTTGATATTAAAATCTGTTTTGCAGTTCCAAATGAATATGAATTAGTCATTGTGTTTGAAGTAATCTATATTCTTAACAGTAAAAAAGTAAAATTGTTATGGAAACCCTCCTATCTATACCTCACGTACTTTGAGTTCTTTTCATTTGTTGAGTCTTCATGCCAAATTCCTCTCTTCATTAATGGAAAAATGTACTTCACACTTACCATCATTATTGATTTCTTTATGTTACCTGCAGAGTGTGGAGCAGATAGGGACACAGAATATAGTAGTAAAATCCTGTGCATAATACTAAAATTGATGTTTAGCTATATAGAAATAAGTTATAAAACTGAAAAAAAAATCTCTGGATGCCATTCAGAAGCATTTGCTTATGTTTTCTGCAAAGATAAATTATCAATTAAATGACAAGTGTATATATTTATTAACTATAAATGTAAGACAGATTCTTCAAAAAATATAATTAGAGATATGTCATAACATAGGCATAAAAATACATACAATATTTATTGATAGTCTTATTTACATCAATACAAGTTTTTCTGTTTTCTAAAATAATGTGAATGTGTTTTTACTAATCATTTTTGTGAGAAAGGTTGTTATTATAACTTTTCAGTAAATATTCTCTTGTTGGTAAAATATGTTATTGTCAATAAGTATTTTTATATATCAAGTAAATATTTTTGAATTCTATTTTGTATTTTCACAAAAGCAATACATTAGAAATAAATATTTATAAGTTAGTGATAAAATATTTGTGTAGGTTTTGTGTGACTTATTTGAATGTATTCAGAAAGATGCTTTATGTAAATTGATTTATTTTTCAAAAACCTATATGTTCTTATGAAATCATAAATTATTTCATTGTCTCTCTTTTGCATCCTTCATACGTTGTCATTGGATTCAATAATTGCTTGATCACTGGGACATAGTTTCTGGGCTTTACTAGGGATATGTCCTCATAATAATTTATGAGTGTTCTATCTAATTATTAAAGCCACAAAACAACGGCTGTAATTCTTTAAATACAAAAAAATGATTTCAGGTCATCATCTCTCTTATGCTGATATTACAAGACCAGTAGAATTCTGCCACAATGCCAAAATATGTTGAAATTTCCTTTGTAGCAGAAATATCAGTCCTAAAATGATGCCAGAGGCTTTAACAAGTTCAACTTTTTGAGCTGAATCTTGAAAAATTAGCAGAACTTGGATAGGTGCTGAAAGCAGGAAGAATACTGTACTTTGTACAAGTAATTGGCATAAAGGGTTTGAACACAAATTAGCATATACACAAAAGAATGGTGAGTAATTCATCTGATTGGAGCAGAAAAAAATACACCTTTGTGAGTAGCATACATTGTACTCAACACAGAGCAGGGAAAATTTATAGAGCATCTTAAGATTCATACAGAAAAATTTGCTGTTTATATATCATACAATGGGGCAATTGCATGTTTCTGAAAAGAGATAGAGTATCTGTGCCTCTTTTCATCATGGTTACCATCATCATCATCATCATTTTGCAACGCATAATAGCATTTTCTGTGTGCAAAATGATATACATACTCATCTACAATTTTGACATCTACAATTTGACACATTATTTTCATTTTGCACATGAAGGAACCTGATGTTCAGAAATGTTCAATGATTTGCTTAAAGGCACAGAAAAAGATAGTGAGGGAACCAGAATTTCAAATCATGTCTTTCTGGCTCCAGAGCTATTTTCCACTATGTTATGCTGGTATTCTAGGAATGTGAATCTGGCAGAAATCAAGCAGAATGGTTTGAAATGGACGTTGGGATTATGGGGTGCGGGGAGGAGGCAACGAGACAACAGTCCAAAGACCCATTTTAATATTCTATAAATCCAAACCAATCACCATTCTATCAGTTGGGTCATGCTTTTCCTTTGGGAATTGAGAGAAGAGACTTAAACTGCAAATAAGGGATAATTTTTACATTTAAATTAGCTGCTTTCATATTCAACACTTAGGCTTTTCTCTCTCTTACATTTTCTTAAATGTACTCAGAGAAGATACCTTTTGCATTCTCAGAGAAAATTTTATCACTGATTTGCATTGAATATTACTTATTCACAAATGAGATGTGTAAGGTGACCAGGAAAGATACTGGGGACGCATCGATTTTCCTTTTTATTTTTGATATGTAATATCAGTGAACACTCAGCAACCAAATACTCTTAAAACTATGGAATGACCAAGATGTTATCAAATAAAGGCATTTTATAAGTTTTATTTCAATGGGAAAAATGCATATATAAAATTTATGTTGTAACAAATAGTATAAAATACAGTATATTCACAGTAAAAAGGAATAGAACTTATTTATTAACATGTTTTTCTTCATATATCCACCTTAAGCACATTATTTTACTTCTTCTCAAAGAAGAACTAGTATCTGGAATAGCATTCATTTTCTTCTTTTCTTTCAATGAAATAAAAAATATAGCTTATTTCATAAAAATGAGTTTTTTTGATTAATGTATATATGATGGTATCATTTTATAAACATACTCTCTACTATTTTAGAAGCATACTATCATTTAAGTAGGCTTTATTGAAGGAGCATCTTTCTTCCATACACAAAAACAGATGAGTATTTTTGAAATGCAAAGATTTGGTCACTGACCTTGACATTTTACTTTTTACAAGCCTAGGCTGAATTCTATGAACATATTCCATAGAAGGCATTTGTATAACTAGTACGCCATCCTAGATTGAGTGTGAGCTTGAGAGCTTGATTGTGAAAAGGAAAACTAGATATTGTTTTGGAGGTTGTGCTCAAGACCACTTAACTGTAGTCATAGCTTTGCAAAGAATTGTTAACATTATTATATAGTTAAATATTATCTGAGTTGATTTATATTTAATGATGTTTCCTAAAAGAATTGCTGTTGTGTGTAGTAAAGATATAAAAATACTTGGTGTTATAATTTTGATGGAAGGATTTTTTGGTAGCTAAAGAAAGAGGCGTCCTTAGTATAGAGAAAAAACCATATGCTCACTGCAGAATTTATAAATGTATCTTATCATAGTGTCTGTTTTAAATTTGTAGAACTAAAGCTTCCAAAAATAAAAGTGGGATTTTTTAGTCATTGACTTGAGAGCATAGGTTTCTAAGCTGCAGTAAACATTTGGAAATATAACACAGGTAAAGAGACAATAGTTCCATGAAGAAAAACCTGTAGCAACTTTAGATTCACTTTCATTTGGAAATAGTTTTGAGAGTGTTCAATACGGTCTTTACTTTTCTCCCTTAGTGAATTTAAGATTATGAAGGCATTAGGTAAAAAGTTAAATTTAAGATGTCTGCAAAAGATAAAATAGTCTTATTATTCAGCCTATATCTGTGAATCGTCTATCCTTTGTTGCATAAAGGGTTTTGAACAAGGGTTTCTTTGGATGAGAAGAAAACATATTTCACAACAAAGCATGAAAATTATAGGTGCTCAGTGGGATTATAACATTTGGTAGCACAGGAAAAAATAGAAAGATGTGGAAGTGCCATAATTCATTGGTGTTTCATATAATTCTAGAAGGTTCTGTTTATAATCTGTTCCTAATTCAGAGCTAGAATAATCCCACGGATTGTCCTGAGGGTTCAGGTGAGCTTTGTTCTAACTTTGTTTTGAAATAACTTTACAGGTATAGTCAATGGTGGGAAGGAGTTCGGTCAGAGCAATTGTTTAGAGTCCCTGCATTCTTATTTTTGATAGTGCCCAGGCTTCTTCATTCTTTTGGTAATAATAAAACTTAAGTTATAGAATATAAGGTTGCATGGATTAAAATCATGGATGTTGCAATTATGTCATGCTACAAATGGCCTCTAAAAGTGTTAATGCTACATGAATTTACCTGCTGTTTTTTACATTTTTTGTGTGGAAGTAAATAAATGTGACCTGATAATGCAGATTAATGGGAGAAATTCCAGTACTCATGTATTAGAACTAGGAGGGCTATCTCAGATACAGATACAGAAAGCCAGGGCCTAAGTGTAGGTACTGACCACAAAGCTCTGCTCTTGGACCTCACGTGGTACATTCATTGTCTATGATTGGCAGTCATTTTCTATTCTGTGGCTCTAAGTTTCTTTCCTATTATTGAGTAGGGTGTTTATCTGAATTAATGTAAATGACACATTTGAGAAACATAGATCTTTATCCAAAACAATATCAGAAGTAGAAACAGTACAGAACAAACTCTACATCCTATCTGCTGAGTCTTTTGAAACCCCTTGGTTCTCTTATCTTCTGAAAGGGATACATGTGCTTTTTTCTACCAAATATCCTATCCACTTTCCGCACTGTTTCAAAAATATTTCTGGAAAAATAAGTGTAAATCTTCATTTTTTATAGAAAGAGATAATCACCATAAGTATATTTGTGCATTATTTAGGTACTTGAAAGAATAAAATTGCTGATAGCAATTAAAGTGGTGTGATTGGAGTTAACCTCACTTAGAACTGTTTCTTTAGTAATTGTAAAACTCTATAAGCTTTTCATCTTCAAAAGAACCTTCTTTAGAGGAGACTAACTTATTTAGTGGAACTTGTCATGCTTGCCTTTTGGGAGAAAAGGAATAGTTCTAAGTCATTCTATTTTAGATTTATCCATTTAATAATAAATGTCCATCATTTCTCAGACACTGTTCTAGCAATGGAAATAGGTGAATAAAAGTAAAATCTCCTTCTTTTCATCAAGCATAAAAGCAGTAGAATCCATATATTCTCTATAAATATATATTAAGTCATGATAAGTACTATGAAAAAAGAAAATAAAATTCAGGCTAAAAGAGAATAGAATATGCATGCACTTTTGATATGACT